CCAATTTGGATTGGCAATCGTAAGTCTACAACCAAAAATGATACCAACAGTCATCAGTGATCATTCTGACGTCTGGTCTGATATTTTCTTTGATACTTTTGAGAGAATGTTCGCCAATTGAGTTTGTTTCCTGTGTCAATCTCAATATATTACAATTTTTTTTCTTCGTATACATAATAAAAAGTTTCTTTTGTACCGAGAATGCCATGCATCACAAATGCTGTTTTTGTTGGCTTCACGTCGCCATTCGAAGCTTCAAATACACGATACGACAGCGTACTCTTTTCTCGTCGAGCTATTGATCTGCACATGAGGTTACATTTTATAATATGTGACAGTTTTCAAATTTCGTTTACTAATGTGAGCATACTTTTGAGTAGCGACTCCACAGCGAACTGCAGACGTAACAAAGTGCTTAGAAAGATGCATTGATTGTACTGATGACGTCAAGTGAAGTAATTTCAAAGCACAAAAGACATTTTCTTCAAAATTAAATTTCAAGATAAATTTCAGTTTCATTGACAATATTCTGAGTTCAAAGAGATACTCTAAATGATCCTTGAAACGTCGTATGGTTATCCTCATCTCTGTGCTTCATTTGCTACTCCACGTGTATATTTCTAGTGCACAATCAGCTCCTCAATTACCACATCAATTCCAAGCTGAGGTGCATGTATTATCGCATCTTACGAATCCTCGTCAGGAGTATCCGACATCAATAAAAAGGATGAAGATTCAATTCGACTTGATACATCAAGTCGCAAGGGCAGAAATATTAGAAGGAGATGATACAGGAAAGACATTTGTGCGGCGATATGACGAGGTAATGATCAAAAGCAACGATATGTTGGTTACAATTCATTGTATTGACTTTGTTGTGACAAGAAAAGAGAAATTATGGTCAAGGGTGGAGAATTTCGCAAGTGTGAACGTGCTTATCTTGGTGATGCTATGCCAGAACCAAGAATTCCTTTTATTCAAAAGTTTGTGGTCAGTCAAGCAGCTAAGCAATCAAATTAAAGTCTCAGCTGATGATTTTGTTTATAGGCTATGGAAAGTTTGAGAGGTAAAGTGTGTGAGCATTGGATACACTCGCATGACAACGTTCGAGTTCATGTGTTTAAAGACGTTGCATTAAACGGTACGTTTGCTTTACAATGTGTTCAATTGATTCACATCTCAAGATTGAATTAATTTTTCATTCGCTCAGTTCCCAACCGCTTGACTGAAGAAATAATCATGGACAAACAGGCAACAATGCTGCTAACTTTTGATCTTTATAATGTGCATGTGGGACCACAACGT